CAAGTTTTTATTAGCTGAAGAAGATCAGGGTGCTGTACAAGTTTAGGGTTATCCGAACTGGTAACTGCTTGGCTATATGTTTTTTAAAAGGAAAGATATATGTTAGTTGTTTGTATAATATCTATTTCTTTGTTTAGTTTGGGACTTGTTGTTTGTTCAGTCTGTGAGAATATTTCTATATCAGATATAGGGGCATCATGCAGAGTATTACTAAATTCGGATTGTTGTTGTTCTGATGAGATCATAGTATAATCTGCTAGGAGTAAGCTAGAATTACCACTTTTTTCATTATTTTTTTGACTTATAAGTTTTCGATGGTATGTTGGTCAAGAAGTTAGCTTTCTTTGCATTTTCTTTTATTTTTGTACTAGTTGTTATATTGGTCTTCATTAGAGTCAATATCAGAGGTAGTTTCTTGTTCTAGAGAGCTAGAGTTAGCAGTTTTCTTAGCTTGTTGTATTGCTAATATGTTTGGTATCAGCAAATACTTATTAGACGTAGGAAGTGTTGTTTTTGTAGTTTCTCTTTTCCTTTTGTCTATTATATTGTCTTGGTATATGTTAAGTAGTATTATTAAGAAGAGTTATTTAGTTAATTATAGTAGTTGCAAAATATCTTTTCCGTTTAACTCAAAAATTTTTTTCTTTTGTTTGTTGTTTTTGGGATCTACAAAAAAAAGTTTGTACTCATAAAAATTATATAAAATACTAATACTATATTCTATATCTCTAAATTAATTTGCTCCTTATACTATTAATCTAAATTAGTTATAATCTGTAATTAGCTTTATCATATATGCTATTCATTAAGTAAACAAAACAAATCATCTGTTTAGTTTACATGATCTTTTCTTAAAATAAATTGGTAGTATGAATACTAATTCTTTTACTAGAAGAGCTAAATTCTCACTTTTTACAAAATAAATTTGCAAAAAGATTTTGATGTTGATGTAGAGAGATATCTTGTATTTTTCGAGCTATAAGAAAGACCAGAAAGAGATAAGTACAAAAACTCTAACCAAAGTTAAAGAATAGTAGTATTGCTTAACTTAGTATAAGTAGTTTTGGTAAAGCTTATATTTAGTCTTTGCTTCAGCTATAAGTAAATAAAAAAATATTAAGATCTGCTAAAGTCAATAGCTTTGCTTTAGTAAGCTACTTACAAACTAGTAGTATTAGTATAATACTAAACTTAAACTAGTTATGAGCTTTATTCTTCACACTATACAATAATATTTCTTGCTAAATTGTTGTTTTTGAATTTTTGTTATAGCTCCATATTAGGTTTTAGTGATTATTAAAAAAAGTTGTTATTAAAAAATTTATATTTAAAAAGATTTTAAGAATTAATTAATAAAAAAATTTTATATATAACAAAAATAAAAATTGTTTAAATAATTATTTATTAAAATTATAATTTATAATTTAGTTATAAATATAATATTATTTTATTTTAATTTAATCTAAAAATATATAAAAAACAAAGAATACTAATAATAAATATAAGAAAATCTAAAACTAAATATTTATATATAGTAATAAGTACATATGAGATTTATACAGAAGATTTTTAATAGATCTCTAATTTAGACTAGCTAGCTCAAATTAATATAATTTTAAGAAACTCATTATGTAATCCTATTTTGTATATCATATACAGATCACTTAAATAACTTGTAGTCTACATAAAATATTTTAAATATTTATAATTTTATTTATCTAACAAAATATGATTTTTATTATTACTATTATTTTTATAAAATTAAAAATTTTTGCCTATATAAAAATAAAATAGCTATCATTAGCTAAGTAATCAATTATTTACTTTTAAATTCAGTATCTGTGAATTGTATAACTCTATTTTAGATTTTTTAATATAAAAAATATAATTAAATATTTGCTGTGAATACATTTTTTTAAAAAATAAATTATACATACTTTTGATATACTAGTAAAATTTTAAAAATTTAATATGTTGCTACTCAAACTATTATTTAAACTACTATTCAACAATATCAAATAATTTCACAAATATACATATCTGTAAAATTATATAATAGTATTAAATAGTAGTTCAAATAGCAGTTTGAATAGCAAAATATTAAATTTTTTAAATTTTACTAGTAATTCATACTTTAAAAATATTTAGAATTCTTAAAGAAATACTAGAAAGTTGTCAGAAGAACTTTCAAATAATGCTAGAAGTACTAAGAATTCAGAAAAAATATTAAAAAATTATCAGAAGAATCTCTAAATAATATTAGAAAAACTAAGAATCTAGAAAGAACTTTCAAAAGTTATTAGAAGAATCTCTAAAAGCTACTAAAGTCATTAAAAATACTAAGAATTAAGAAAACATACTAAAAAATTGTCAGAAGAATCTCTAAATAATACTAAAAGTATTAAGAATTCAGAAAGAACCTCTAAAAATTGTCAAAAGAACTTTTAAACAATGTTAAAAAATACTAAAAGTATTAAGAATTTAAAAAAAAATATCAAAAAGTTGTCAGAAAAATCTCTAAATAATACTAGAAGTACTAAAAATTCAGAAAAAATTTCTAAAAGTTGCTAAAAGTTATTAAAAATACTAAGAATTTAGAAAGAAATACCAAAAAGTTATTTAAAATTTTTCAAATAATACTAGAAATACTAAGAATTAAGAAAGAAATACTAAAAAGTTATCAGAAGAACTTTTAAATAATACTAAAATTATCAAAAATTTAGAAAAAACTTTAAAAAGTTATTAGAAATACTAAAAATTCAGAAAGAAATATTAAAAGTTATTAGAAAATTTTTTAAAATTCTTTAAATAATATCTAAAATACTAAGAAACTAGAAAGAACTTCTAAAAATTTATTAGAAGAAACTTTAAATAATACTAGAAATACTAAAAATTCAGAAAGAATCTCTAAAAATCATCAGAAGAATCTTCAAAAAAATGTTAAAAAATATCAGAAGTATTAAAAATTTAAAAAGAAATACTAAAAGTTATTAAAAGAATCTTCAAATTATATTAGAAGTACTAAGAATCTAGAAATAATATTCAAAAGTATCAGAAAAATCTTTAAGAAATACTAAGAATTCAAAAAAGATACATTAAAAAGTTATCAAAGAACCTCTAAATAATGCTAGAAGTACTAAGAATCTAGTAAGAATCTCTAAAAGTTATCAGAAATACTAAAAATCTAAAAAGAAATACTAAAAAATCATCAGAAGAATCTCTAAAATTCTCTAAATAATACTAGAAGTACTAAGAATCAAGAGAAAAACATCAAAAAGTTATCAGAAAAATCTCTAAAATTTTTTAAATAATATCAGAAATACTAAGAATTAAGAAAAAAACATTAAAAAGTTATCAAAAGAACTTTCAAATAATACTAGAAGTACTAAAAATTTAGAAAAAACCTTTAAAAATCAACAGAAATACTAAAAATCTAGAAAAAAAATACTAAAAAGTTGTCAAAAAAACTTCTAAAATTTTTTAAATAATATTAAAAGTAATAAGAATCTAGAAAGAACTTTTAAAAGTTATTAGAAGAACTTTTAAATAATGTTAAAAGTACTAAGAATTCAGAAAAAATCTCTAAAAATCATTAAAAGGACTTCTAAAAAAATATTAAAAAATATTAAAAATACTAAGAATTCATAAAAAAATATTAAAAATTGTCAAAAGAATCTTCAAATAATGCTAGAAGTACTAAGAATTCAAAATTAACCTCTAAAAATTATTAAAAGAATCTCTAAAAAATATTAAAAAATGCTAAAAATACTAAGAATCTAAAAAAAAACATCAAAAAGTCATCAGAAGAATTTTTAAATAATACTAAAAGTACTAAAAATCTAATAGGAATTTTTAAAGTTATCAGAAATACTAAGAATCTAGAAAGAAATACTAAAAAGTTATTAAAAGAACTTTTAAAATTCTCTAAATAATATTAGAAATATTTAGAATTGAGAAAGAAATACTAAAAAATCATTAGAAGAACTTCTAAAATTTTCTAAATAATATTAGAAGTACAAAAATTAAGAAAGAAATACTAAAAAGTTATCAGAAGAACTTTTAAATAATACTAAACATATTAAAAATTCAGAAAGAATCTCTAAAAGTTATTAGAAATACTAAGAATTCAGAAAGAATCTCTAAAATACTAAGAATTCGGAAAGAAATACTAAACAATCATCAAAAAAATTTTCAAAATTCTCTAAATAATACTAGAAATATTAAGAATTCAGAAAGAATCTTCAAAAAGTCATTAGAAGAACTTTCAAGTAATATAAAAAATACTAAGAATTCAGAAAGAACCTCTAAAATTCATTAGAAAAATCTCTAAAAAAATGTTAAAAAATACTAAAAGTATTAAGAATTTTGAAAAAAATACTAAAAAGTTATTAAAAAGGAAGCATAAACAAAAAACTCTTTCATGTTTCCCTCAAGTTAAAGGTACCAAAAACTCAAAATAACTAAAAAACTCTACACAAAACTAACTTCTGCATCTCTAAAGGCTATAGTTCCTAATTTTAGGAAAAGAAAACTCCCAACAAGCTTTATGAGTCATAACAAAAATAAGCAAACTAAAGTTCTTGACAATAGAAAAATTTTTGATCTTTCTTCTGTCCCTGAAGAAAAGAAAAGAAAAAATATTGAAACTTCCTCAGAAGCTTCTTCCTTATCAAAAAACTACTCTATAGACTCCAGTACTGAAAATAACTAGGCAGACAAGATTGAAAAAGAACTCAACAAGTCTAATAAAACCAATAACTCTTACTCTTCTCAAGAAGAAAATGAAAAAATACTAAGTATTGTTTCTAACAAAACAATAAACAAACACGTTACTTCAGATGTAAACAAAGAATATGTGAACAATTTAAACAACTAATCAACCAAAAACTCTTCTGCAAGTCATACTAATGCAAATCCAACAACTACATTAGGAAAAACTGATGACACTAAAGATAATCTGAACAAACCCAGACAATAGTCTGATCTTTTTATAAAACTATATGGAGGCAAAGCTACCTTCAAACAAGAAGTTTCCAAAAATAAAATTTTGTTCAAAAACGATAATGCTCTTGTTTTTGATATCTCATCTCTCAATAATATATCTACTAACAATATAATCTTAGCTCTTGCAAACCTTCTAGGAGACAAACTCTTAGCTGCAAAAACTCACTTCAGTAAGGGCAAAAGAATGTACCTTGAAGTAGTATTCAAAAAAGAATCACAACAACAATTCTATGCTACAGAAGGACTAAATATCTTCAAGCAAACTATCTTTGGTTATATTCTAATTAACCTCAAACGTAGCTTTCTCTCAGTTAAACTGAGAAATACTCCTTTTGGTGATATGAACTAAACTAGCTACTTAATCAAAGAGGTATTTGTTAACTTTAGTACTATTGCTTTCATCAAGCCTCTGTTTTTTGAGAGGACCACAGTTTGTTTAGACCAGTGAATTATTATTTTCAAAACTACAGAAGATGCTGACTTAGCCAAAAAACTTCTAAGATCCACTTAGTAGAAGACTATAAGATTATTACAGAATAGAGAAAAGCCTTCAAAATCTGCTACTACTATGAGAAAGAAGGACATGTTAAGAAAGATTACTAGGATCTCAAAGAGGCAATTGTATTTTATAACCATTACAAAGAGTTAAGACAAGCAAAAAAACTGAGCAATAAGACTTCAGATTCTCAAATCAGCTCTAGCTCAAATAATCCTTATATCCAAGAAACCAAAATATCTGAATCTCACTTCCTGACAACTACTCTAAAAGAGTTAACAGACTTCTCAAATGAACACAACACAATTTCACCTGATTCCTCTTCAAACACAAAAACTAATGGTAACACTATTGCAAAACCTGACCTAGACTCAGACACAATGGATATGGATTGCAACCTCCAAGTCCTAGAAAAAGAGTTTACTTCAGCAATATCTAAAAGTAAAGCAAAAAACAAGAGATCCTCATACTCAGGATAAGATACTACTACACAGAATACAGAGATGCCTCCTCTAGAAGCAATCTCATACTAAGAGACTTTAACTCTTATTATAAACCTACTCTCTGATTATACTGTCTATGAAACATATCAAAATAGCAACTCTAAACGTAAAAGGCCTTAACAATAAGGCTAAAGCCTATAAAACTTTAACTTTACTTAAATTATATAACCTAGATATAATTGCAATTTAAGAAACTAATTTAAATAATTCTAATGCTAAAAACTTTTTTACTTAGCAATAAGGCTTCAACTCTTTTTGAACTACTAAAACTGCAATACTAGCTAGAAAAAAATATATTAAGATCAAGGAAATGAAATCAACTCTAGAAGACTGAGCAATTCATACTAAAATATTAGTTAATAATCTAAACCTCTCACACATAAATGTCTATGCTCTCTCAAATCTGAGAGACAAACAAACATTTTTCTCAAACTGGTTATCTCAAATTGACAAAGGCTTTATAAATATACTTATTAGAGACTTCAACGTTAATATGAATCCCCAGAAAGATAGAATAAGCTAAGTACTAGTTCAAAATAATCCTTCTAGAGTTTTGCTACAAAACTTAATAACTGAATTTACTGATTCAGCTAATAACTTTGAAAATGAACTATTTATTACTTTTTACCAAAATACACAGAGTAATCAATAAATAGCAACTCAGCTAGACTACATCTTTATTGATGCAAACTTTAGCTATCTAGAAAGAAAAACTCTAACACGCTTTGGCAACTTAGACCATTTTCTCGTAGAATGTATAATCTAGTATCAGTCTATACTAACTCAAGCTGTAATTTGGAGACTTGACTCAAAGAAACTACTCGACTTCGAAGTTAGAGACAAAATTACTTAAAATCTTCAAAGCTACAATGATATTAGCAAATAGGATTTTCACAAATGCATAATTCAATCAATAGTTAGATCAGAAAGCCTAAAAAGCTTCCAGAAAAGAAAATTCAAATTTTGCAGAATAGGCTATCTAAATTAAACAATAGGATAGTGAATGACTCTAGGCTTACAGACTTCCAAGCTTCTTCAGAAGAAATTAAGGACCAAATTCAAGAGAAGCTCCAACACCTCTCTGAGAGATAGCAAACCAGATCAAATACCAAATAGATTGAAGAAGAAGAAAAATTAACCAAATACTTTTTCTCTTAATATAAAATTAGATACTCTTCTTCATATAGCACCAAAGTCAGAAACCCAAATAACTCCATATCTAACTCTCAACCAGATATTCTAGAATACATCAAAAACTTCTATGAATCTCTTTACAAAGCTGAACCAATTGATCTCCAAGTAGCAGAAGAGCTACTCAGAAATGCTTCTCTCATCTCACAAGACCAAAATGCTATTCTAGTTAAACCTATCACTGAAGAGGAGATTAGTAATATTATAGATAATCTTCTAAACAACAAGTCTCCTGAACCAGATAGGCTTACTTATGAATTCTACAAATCTCTAAAAAACCTTCTACTTCTTTTACTCTCTAAGCTTTTTAACAATGTTTTAACCATAGAACAAATCTCTCTCTCATAGAGCAAAAACATAATTACTCTTATTCTTAAGAAATCAAATGATCTAGAGAATATTAGTAACTAGAGACCTATCTCACTCATTAATAGTGATGCTAAAATTTTTATGAAAATCTTTGCTAATAGACTAAATTTTGTTTGTAGCGATATAATTTATCCTTGTCAACAAGCTTTCATTACTAGCAGATCTATTACTGATACAGCTTTGGATATCCTTATAACTCTAAAAAACTAACCTAACCAAACTAAACAAAACTGGCTACTCTTTCTCAACCAGCAAAAAGCATTTAACAGAGTCAGCCATCAATTTATAAAAACTGTCTTAAACAAAATAAACTTTGATTCCAAGTTCAGCAAGATAATCAACTCTCTCTTTAGTCTACAACAAGTCTACATTATGGATACAGGACACCTCTCTGAGTCTTTCAGAGTAGAGAGAGGAGTTAGACAGGTAACCCTCTTTCTCTCCTTCTATATGTCCTGGCTATAAACTATCTTCTCCAATCTCTACAAACAAACCTCAATAGTATTAGAGTATTAAACTTATCTTTCAAAGTAGTAGCTTATGCAGATAACCTAACGATTAGAATCAGTTTACCTTCAGACTAAGAATCTCTTAATAATATCCTCAACAAATATAAATCTGCTTCCAACTTCAAAGTTAACAAATCAAAATCTATTTTAGTTCCTCTTACAGACAATACTCATAAAGTTGAGCTTTGCAACCAAAACAGATTCAAAATTCTTACCCAAAATACAGATATACTTTCAATTCTAGGCTATGAAGTAGATATCAAAAGTGCCCTAAAAAAAGACCTATAGACAAAAATAACCAAATCAATCAAAGACTATATTAGCAATTTATCAACTAGAAATTTGTCTCTTAAAGGCAAAATTCTAATTACAAAATCATTTCTAATCTCTAAAATATGATATACTGCTTATCTACTCCTACTTAGCAGAAAACAGCTTAAAGAAATTAACAAAATCATAATGAACTGAATCAAGAACAAATCCAAGTTCCTTCCTCGCTACTCAACTTTCCAACTTAATTTGGACCAAGGAGGACTCTCAGCACCAATCCTTAAAAATATTATTAATACTAAATTAACCTCTATTTGGATTAAACTTTTCAC